GAACATACGGGATTCTATGAATCGAACCCAGGTCACCCCGTGCAAGGCAAAGCCCTACCCGCTGTCCAGTCCCACCTCTTGAAAAGAGTTCCTGGGAGCAGAGATTTGAAAAAGCACGCGGGAAGGAGCTGGTGGGAGCAAACAGGGAAGAAGGTAGCAGGTGCGGGTGGTTGGAGCATGTGTCCAGAGCCTAGAAGGACTGTGGTAAGTCAATATGTTGTAGGAACAGTGAAGAGGCTGTAGTAGGGACAGGGAGTGTGACTAACATGTGGTTGAGAGGGAGGGTGCCACCAGGGGGCCATGGCAGAGACCTCAGCCTGCCACTTGGAGGAGCTGAGACACCCTTAAGGGTGCCTTGACACCTGGGGCCGGAGCGTGCCAAGATCCCTGCTTAAGCTGAATTCTTTGATTCAGTCCTTCTCACAGATAAGTCCTTCTCACAGATTGGAAGGCTCTTCCTTATTATTATTATTGTTATTGTTATTATTATTATTATTATTATTATTATTATTATTTGCACTGCTCTCATTATTCCTGTAGCTACTGTGCTACCAAGACATGGAACTCAGAAGCGAGGCTTCTGGCTCTTGGGGTAGAGCTGCTGTCGGAAGGGGAAGGGGTGGGGAGGAAGCTACTGACAGCATTCTCTGGTGCCTGTGGTTTGCAGCTCCCTGCCCTCTGCCCCGTTGGGTTTCATGGACTCTCCTGCAATCTCGGGGCCATCTGTGAGGCTGGTGTGGATCAGCTCTGCCTGCCACCTTCAATTAGTTGAAGCCAAAGGAAGGAAAGAGCTTTGTTTTTAATCAGCTTAATTCCAGATTAATTGTAGATCCTTCCTATTTTTATAGAGCGTAAGTTCTAGGGAGAGGAGAAGCACATGTAGACTGCAGATGTGCTTGAGACTGCATGAGCAAATGAAAATGATACGTGGCTAGAGGTAGCAATTCAGAGAGCTCCAGGCTGCAGAGTCTTGAAGACTCTTATCCTGATAGTTGTACCACAGTGTGAATGGACTCAACTCTGCTTGACAGTCAGTCCACCGAAGAATTAAGATGCTAAGTTGCATGTCATACATAGTTCGCCACAACAACAAAAAATATTAAAAATAGACTCCCTTGTCCAAACTCTCTTCTTTCAGGCTGAGTGACTCATTCATACAGCTACCCAGCAGGTAAGGGATCTAGTCTGGCTTTGAAATCACTCTCCTAGCTCCGATCCCACATCTTTTTCAGTGACCACAAGCATTTCTTTTTCACTGGTGGAAATGAGCGCAGGAAAGTATTTATTCCTTGCTCTTTGAAACCCTTGCCTCCAAAGAAAAGAACTTTTGCTAGGCTCTTTGGCCTTGGAGAACTCCCAGTGCTTCTCTTTTGCTTAATTTGAACCTTTCTCACTTCTGGGTCTCTTTGAGAAGGGGAACACCATGAAAGTCTAAGCTGCAGAAGGAGGATGAGAAGAAGCAGTGGATGAACCAGTGTCACAAGTTCCAATTTAAGGGTTCAGCTGTGGTCTTTCTAATGTTCTCTTGTCTTCTACTCATTTGCCCAGTGGAGTGATATTTGGATGTGCCCTTTTTTTGATAAAAAATGCAACACTGTGAATGATGCAACCCTTGTGGTAGCCATGAGATCCTAACCTCTAACACTAGCCCCTACAGCTGCCCCATGTCATCTTCATGACAAGCCTTCATTAGCATGATGAAATGGGAATTGATGAGTTATTGAGTTCTGGGAACTACTGGAATGGTTCTGCCAGAAGAGGAGAACTTGAGTTTAAAGCAGTAAAAGATAGCCACTGCTAACTTTCTACTCAAAGGATATCAAGGCAGCACTAGTGAACAATGTTGCAATAAACACTTGGGTAGGTATAGCCTTGTCTGTTCATCTTTTTTATGTTCATCAGCGGGTAGGGCATTTGCCTTGCATGCTGCTGACATGGCCGACCCGAGTTTGATTCCTCCGCCCCTTTCAGAGAACCCGGCAAGTCTCTGAGAGTATCTCGCCCCCACCACAAAGCCTGGCAATCTACCCTTGACGTATTTGATATGCCAAACACAGTAACAAGTCTCACAATGTTACTGGGCCCGCTCGAGCAAATCAATGAACAACGGGAGGACAGTGACAGTGGAGACCTGATGTTCTTCATTAGATACTCAAAGTGAAGTTGCTGAACCATAGGGTAGCTCTGTATTTCACTGTTTAAAGGACCCCCATTAGTGATTTCGAAAATGTTTGCACCAATTTGCATTCCCAACAGCAATGCAAAAGGAGTTTTTTCACTCCACATCTTCTGCAACTCCTGTTCTGGCTGGTGAGAATGCAAGTGATGCTCAAAGGAAGCAACTTAAATGCCTGTTCATTGATGCCAATATACACAAGATATGAACATTCAAACAATGGGATACTATTTATCTATAAACAAGATTAAAATGTTGCCATTTACAGCAAAATAAAAGGTGCTTGAGGGAATTATGCAAACAAAATTTGTGGGAAGGAAAAGATGTCTTGAATGACCATGATCTCTGAGTACATAAAATTGAGGAACAGGCAAGACAAAATTAGAAACCAAACCAGTGAATACTGACAAGAGAACTAAGGTTGTCTGAGAAGAGGGAAGAGGGAGGACGATAAGATATAGTAGGGAAAAAAACTGGACTGAAAAGAAGGGGGGGAAAGATATTGCAGGAAAGGGTGGGGAGGTTTGGAAAAAGGAAGACCACTGGGTTGGGAAACAGGAATTCCCTGCTGGGCTTCAGAGAAAGCTGAGCTGGGCATTTGTTGATGGCCAACTCCCAGACTTGTACCAGTCACTTTGCCTCCTGTCCTCAACTTTGTCCACTAGAAATCAGGTGTAATTATAAGAATTCTACTCATTTTTCGAGCCTCTACTTTATTTTTTATTTATTTTTATTTTTATTTATTTATTTTTAATTGAATCACTGTGAGAGCATTACAAAGCTGTTCATGATTGGGTTTCATTCTTACAATGTTCCAACACCCATCCCTCTACCAGTGTAATTTCCCAGCACCAGTGTTCCCAGTTTCCCTTTCACCCCTCCAAGCCAACCCCCACCCCCAATTGCCCCTATAGCAGGAACCTCTCTCACTCTCTCTCACCACCTCTCTCTCCCTCCTTCTCTCTCTCTCTCTCTCTCTCTCATTTTAGGCATTATAGTTTGCAATACAGATGCTGAAAGGTTATCAGCATCTGTAAAGTTGTATTCTTTTACCTGCTTTCAACATTCAGTTCTTGTCCAGAGCAATCATTGCCAACTAATGTTGTTATAATGGACCCTCCTTTGTCTTAACTATCCTCTACTCCGACACCCTTGTAATTTCCAACCATTGACCAGTCTTCCTGACCCATTTTCCCTGAGCTCTACTTTAAATCCAATAATGTTATCACACCGTGCTGTGGAAATAAAGGTTCAGGGGGCTCACTAAATGCCTCTTTTCTTCAGTGTACCCAGGAGAATCCTACATTTCCATCATCCAACACAGTGGCAGGGGAAGATTCGGAACAGAGTGATGGGTTTAAGAAGGATGTTGTCCTACACAATAGAATACAACACAGCGTTAGGAAGAATGAAGTCATGAAATTCGCTTACAAGTAGATGGACATGGAGAGTATCATGCTGAGTGAAATGAGTCAGAGGAGAGGGACAGACATAAAGTGATTGTACTCTTTTGTGGGATATTAAAAAAGCATGAGACTAATACCCAAGGAAAGTAGAAACAAGGGTCAGGAGGATTGCTCAACAGTTGGAAGCCTGCCTCAAGTGCTGGGAACAAGACAGAAGGGGCCACTATCACAGTGATAGTTGGAAATGATCACTCTGGATAAGAGCTGCATGCTGAAAGTAGGTAAAGGAATTAACATGATAACCTCTCAGTGTCTGTATTGAAAGTCATAATTCCCAAAAGAGACAGGGTAGGGGTGGGGTGGGAAGGAGACTCAGGACACTGGTGCTGGGAAATGTACACTGGTGGAGGGATGGGTGTTGAAACATTGTATGACTGAACCCCAATCAAAAACAGCTTTATAAGTGTGAATCTCACAGTGATTCAATAAAGAAAAGTATACTGGACTCCTTCCTGCTGATATGGGAGGACATATTTGGGCCCACACACATGGGCATATATATATAGTTGAGAAATCAGAATTACAGACATGGCGATTCACAAACAGGAGCAGATAACCTAAGTTAGATAGGCCCTGATAGTTTGATGGACAGGAGAAAACTTGAATAGGAAATTCCAGGAAAAGACTTGCTTAAACTGGTGGTGGGGGGGGTGCAGGTGGATGGGGTGGCTCCCATCGCAACATTCCTTGTGCCCTAAAGAATAGTGACTGGTGACTGGAAGAAGCAACAGAAATGACATTAAAAAGGAGATCAAATCTCTAATTTCCAACAGGAAAAAAAAAAAACAACAACTATGGAGCAAATTGGTCAAGCTCTCAGAATTATATGTACTATGGAATGGTATAATTTTTCCATGTAATTTTATCATACTAAAATCAAAAGGCATTGCCATGAGTCCAAACTGCAACTAAGAATGCAAAAGATCTCTGGGAACTGGGCTATATTATTATGGGTGCCACAAGTGCCAGGCACAACTTCTATTAGCTCCTCCGTAGGATGGATCAGAATTTTAAGTTTCCTGGACCCCCTGACTAACTTAGATGTAGCTCTGAGGAAATTGCTTGCACTGCTGTTGCCTTATCATTAACATGGGATGAGAATGATAGTATTAGGACTTGCTTACATGTTGTAGGTTTGAGTTCCCCCAATAAATCCTAAGCCCCAGGCAGGGTTCTTGTCCATGCTCTGCATTCCTGTGTTCTCTTTCTTGGAAAGGTATTTGGGCACTCAGTCAGGGGTAGCTGAGTGATTGAGTACGTGAATGAAGACTCGTTGGAAATATTGTTCTTGTTGTGGGAGAATGGGCTTGATAGGTCTCGGTGCCCTTTGAAGCTATGTTTACTTCCATCTCTTGCAGGACTCGGGTCAAGCTGGAAAGCTTGGAAGATGCATATATTCTGCGGGGAGATGATGATTCCCTTTCTGACAAGCACGGCTGCCCAGCGTATGTAAGTCCGGAGATCTTGAACACCAGTGGCAGCTACTCGGGCAAAGCCGCCGATGTGTGGAGCCTGGGAGTGATGCTCTACACCATGTTGGTAGGGCGGTACCCTTTCCATGACATTGAGCCCAGTTCCCTCTTCAGCAAGATCCGGCGTGGCCAGTTCAACATTCCAGAGACTCTGTCACCCAAGGCCAAGTGCCTCATCCGAAGCATCCTGCGGCGGGAGCCCTCAGAGAGGCTGACCTCCCAGGAAATTCTGGACCATCCTTGGTTTTCTACAGATTTTAGTGTGTCGAATTCAGGCTATGGTGCTAAGGAAGTGTCTGATCAGCTTGTGCCGGATGTCAATATGGAAGAGAACTTGGACCCATTCTTTAACTGAGCTCACGCCCCCCACACACAGAGACTTAACAGGTACCAGGAGTGAGAGAGAGAGAGGGCAAGGAAAGGCATTCTTCCAGGAAACACACCACATCGCCTGGCTCGGTAGCAAGAAAGACACTTACACTCACACGTTTCTTTGTTCAAAGAAGAAAAACCTTCAAGGAGCTGATGTAAACATGTAGCACGGGGGCAAGAGAGGTGGGATGGGGGTCTAGCTCTGTGGACTGGTGAGCAGAGTAGAGGAGACCCCCTGGAGTTTCTCTCCCTTGGTGTAGGCCCCGAAGATCATCCCCATCAATTGGGCCACTTCCACCTAACCCACTTTTCATTTGGTTCAAAACTAGTCTCAGATCCTGACAGAATCGAAACTCTGCCTCAGACACACATCTTGGCATCGCACTGTTAGCATTTAACTTCTTGTCACGATTCAGGGAAGGTACAATTGGCCAAGGATTTTCTTACTTTCTTTCTTTCTTCTTCTTTTTTTTTCTTTTGAACAAGCCAACCACCTATCTGATAGTTAACGGGGTTCACTTAAAACAATTCGGTGCACACAGACTGATACGAAACCTGGGTGCTAAACTAAAAGAAAATTAAAAGTCCATTTTGTGTCTCTTAATCACTTTCTTCAACTCATTTCTTCTAAATAAACTATTTACTATCCTGGTCAGGAAATAGCATGGTAATGCTTTGTTCCCTGAAGGGAAAAAAAAAAAAATCTGTCCTTTAACAAGCTATTCTGTTTTGTGTCAATTGGTTTCTGGCAGGAAGCTATTAGAAGTCAAACTTCCAGATGCATTACTGCTATCATAGTTTAAAGAAAGGGGGAAGGGGGCCAGGGAAAGAGAAATTCAACTCCTTCATTTTTTCTCTTGAATGATGATGAGGCTGCATTACAGGCATTCCTATTTGCTGAGATGACAGCAACGGCTTAAGAGAGCAGGAAGGCCTGGGAAGCTGAAGCTTTTGCAACACTGATCTTTGATTGAAAACCGGTGAAGCAAAGCAGGTTGTCCCACATGTATGAAAACAGGGCAGCTATTTCATTTTCTAGATGAAGAATGATCCTTGTGACTTGGAAGGCCCTCTGGTTTGGACAAAAACCCTCAGTAGAGACAAGCAAGAAGGATACTAAGCTGAAAGCTAGGATGATATAAATAAAAGCAGCTCTCTATCCCAATACGCACCTTTGTATTTTCAAAAACTCTTCTATTTATTAAGGAAAATGTCACATTGTGATGTATTAAGCCAGTACTTCAATTACGGGTTGACTTGGGATAACATGTTACATGCTGTAGTTAACATTTATATCTATTTTTTTTCTTGTTTGAGTATTTCCGTCCCTGAAATAACCTTTTATTTGGCTTCTCTAGATAGCTTTATTTGATTTCGAGTGGCAAATGTTTTGGTTTTTTTTTATTACGGCTTTTCTATTGCTGTATGATGCAGAACTCTTTTGGCATAAATATTTGTGTTCCCAGTACCTCAGTTGTTTGAATTTTACTGCCTGTATATGTTTTGTGAAATGGTCATGTTTTTGGGTAGGTAACACGTGGACTCTAGTGTGTAAATGTTACTTGAATCTGTGCTTCATTAGAGTATGTGGCATGTATGTGCAGATCTTGGATGCTTTATGCCTGTCCAGCAGGACCCCGACCCTCGTGTTCCTAGGAGGGCGGCCTCCACGTTCATAGTCACAAGACAAGGCGGCCATGGATTTGCCCTTGATTCTATTTTGATAATGGAAGATATGAAGGAGAGAGGTTTTTGACATTCTGAAGACGGTGCTGTGTCAAGAAGGACCTTTTCTTCTTCCCTTTTCCCTATTTTTTCAGTACCCCAAAGGAGGAAAGATTGGTGACATGCATGGCGGGAATCTATGGCCTCTGGTGCTTTGTCCTGTATTTGGTTTAATGTTTTTGTCCTAATCTCTTCAATCAATAAAATTGTGCGTATTTAACTAAGATGCTGTGGTAAATGATGGATTTCTACTCTTCTGTAATTTTTTAAATGAATCACCATGATTTACAGTTACAGACCTACAAACTTTCATGCTTACATTTCAGTCATACAATGATCAAGTACCCATCCCTTCACCAGAGCCCATACTCAACCACCAATGATCCCAGTATCCCTCCCACCACCACCATCCCATCCCCCACCCCACCCTGCCCTGTGGCAGGGCATTCCCTTTTGCTCTCTCTCTTTCTATCTCTCTCTCTGTTTGTCTGTCTCTCTTTCCTTATGGGTCTTGTGGTTTGCAATAGAGGTATTGAATGGCCATCATTTGATCGATAGTCTACTTTCAGCACGCATCTCTCATCCCAAGCGGGCCCTCCAAGCACCCCATACTTGGTGTTCCCTTCTCTATCTGAGCTGCCTTTTCAAGTCCTCTGTATTTTGCACACCAATTGGGCACTCCTGTATTCTCTTTGATCTCCACCCTCTCATGCATTTCATGCCAGTCAATTTCGATACAAAATCTCACTGAATTAATTGCCACCCTGACCAGGAAAGGGGACAATCACATTCGTTTTAAAGATTGAGAAATAAGTGCAACAAGTGGGTAACTTGCCTGAGGTTAAGCAACCTGGAGGCAATAGAATCAGAAATGAACCCCAGACTATCTTGTTTCTAGCCAGAGATTCTCAGTGAGAATATAATGATGTCTCTGAAGTAACCAGGCTAACCTTGGGTTCTCAGGACCTAGAACCTCACAGGAATTCCCCAAACTAAGTGGCATCTATTCGTAATCTGATTGGAAATGGACATGACAGACATTCCTGGACTCTTAGAAACTGTTTCCACAGCAGATCATCTCTTTAGTCTAAAATGCACAGAATATCAGAACAAGATGGGTAAAAAAATAAAGGAAACCTGGGAGTGCATGAAACAGGGTTTCCAACTCTCTACTCATCAGGAGTTTCAGAATCTGTGACACCCAAATCAGAAAGAAATAGTCTAAGGTGAAGAGTTAAGAGAAACAGCATCTATAGTCTTCACAGAGGGAATCAGAGGTAAGATGTGTCTGTGGGTTAGGCAAGAGAACACTGTCGGTGGGGACGGATCCCTCAAAGCCCTTGCAAAGACAGGTCTACGTGTGGTGATAGGAGAGTCGGTTGACACAGATTTGTAGAGCTAATTGGGCCATCTTTTTAATTCACAAATATCTTTTCCTCCAGAGATGTCACCCCAGTAGCCCTGAGTTTCCTTATCCAGGACCTAGCATTTGGAAGCTGTTCTGCAGCTTTAAATTGATGTACCATCTTTTCCAGAGGAAATTGCTGCTAAATGTCCTTACAACTTCAGGCTTCCAAAAGGTGCATCTTGAGAAAACAGTTTTGCACATATCAAGCCTACCTGTAGCTTTTTGCGAAGGTTCATATTGCCCGATCCAATTTCTTTGCTCTTTAGCTGCCTGTGATTAAGAAGAAACGGGCCTGCTGCCTAATGAATGCCTGCTCAAATAACGTTCTGTCAAACCTCCGCATGTGTGCTTGCTGTGGGGAGAGAGCTGGCACACACATTCCTATCCTCTATCTAATGAGCTTCCACCTTGGTAGGAGACCAGAATCTGCCAGCCCCCCTTCCAACCCTGAACATTTCTAAACTACGCCAGGAAATGTCTTCAAGTTTATAATCCCTTTGGGAATAGCTACTTCCCTTTGCTGCTTATTCTAGACCTAGGTCAGGACAAGAGGCCTGGGGACTTGGGACAGGGGTTATGATGGGTAGGGGTGAGGGAGATAACTCTACTTTTATCCTATAAATGGATTCAGTGGATCACTTTTAGATTTTAAAAACCAAGGGTATTGTGAATATTGACTGAGGGCATGTCAAGGGTCTAGTTTTATACTAGACTGGAGTAATAACTGTCTCAAAGGCAGGGCCTATTAGGGCAGACCTCTCTAGAAGGCAAATATACTAAAGTTGAGAACTTATCAATGGCCCTCAAAAAATGGTAAACAGGACCCTGAGACTTCTGCACTCACAACAGAAGTTTCACTTCTACAATTCTTTTGTGGCACTGTCCTCCCATTGTTCATCGATTTGCTCAAGGGGGCCCAGTAACGTCTCCATTGTGTGAGACTTGTTGTTACTGTGTTTGTAATATCGAATATGTCACAGGAAACTTACCAGGCTTTGCCATATGGGCAAGATACTCTCAATAGCTAGCTGGGCTCTCCGAGAGGGGCGAAGGAATTGAACCTGGGCTGTCCAGGTTGGCTGCTTGCAAGGCAAACGCCTTACTGCTGTGCTATTGCTCCAGCCCTTAACAGTTCTTCACGTGAGATCAAATGTAGATTTGCAGAGAGAAGGAGAAAAAAATATGCTGCTGGATGAATTTTGAAACTTCTGATCAAATTCATCCATGTATTAGGAACTGATAAGGTCCGGAGAAGTGATGAGCACTACTGAAGTCACCCCAAAAGTAGTAAAGGATTGAACAGGCAGAGCAAGGTATGTACGGGTTTGAAATTCGGTGGCTTTACATGAACTTGATGAGTCTCATCATTCACTTAGGTGCTCTCATTTTGATCTTGAGTCCTTTTCATGGTGGTCTTCCCTGACCCAGTTCATTCTTTTTGACTTGTTTAGTCACTAATTTTTAGAAGGTATCTGATGCTGATCAGCAGTAGCTATGATTTTTAGATGTCAACACATCGAATGTCTAATCCAAAGTGTTTGTACTCTGTATCTGTGCCTTTCATATGTTTCCATTTATAACAGTTGGATAATTGACTAGTGAGTGTTCCAATAGCAGAAATGGGGCCAACTAGGACAACCCTGTCAGATCTGGCATTTCTGGGTTTTGACCCTCCTGGGTTCACATTCTACTACTGTAGAAAATCAGACTTTTGAAACAGAGTTCTGGAGTTCTAAGAGAAGAGGAGGAAATAGGACTCACTATTTTCATTTTCAATCTACTGCACAGTCTTTCAAAGTATATAGCAAGACTTATAAAGGAATGAAGTAAACTTCACAGATACTGAACAAATTGAAGGACTCTGTCTAATGTGTTAGTGTTCTGTTTTAATCCTGGTTGCACATCTTCAAAACTTTTCCCTGTTTCTAAAGAAAAATGCTAATGCATCTTCCTTTGGAGATCTCAGTACTATGCTTTGGAGCATATGACCAGGTTATCCTTTCCTCTTCACACTTACATTCTGAGATTATTTGCTGATGTCCATGAGAAAGGGGCTATAGAGAAGTGGAGAGTAGCTTTTAGACTAATGACATTTTCACATTCCCTTGAACACAATCATGTTTCAACCAGCTTTGAACTAAAAACTGCCCTCTGGACTCTATTTTTCCCCACAAAAGAAAAACTTCTTTTAATCCAGTTTATTAGTGCTTTTAAAGTATGGACATTTATATGTAAAGAAAGAAAGACAAAGTTGGAACTGAGATCAATGCCATTTCTACCACTATTTACTGTGAGATGGCTCACACATCCCTACACTGGTTGTCTCAGTTTTCTCATGTATGAAACAGAAACAAAGGGTTATTGTGAGGATAACAAATTTCTTGTAAATCTTCATGCTATGTAAACTGTAAAGTAGTCTACAAATGTTTTTGCGAGGACAGATGGCCTGAGCAATACTATTGCTTTAAGGCAACCGAATTAAATTTTCTAAATTGGATTCAAGGGTAAAGGCAAAACTAGGGGTGATTTAGCAGCAGTGGTAAGAGGGCCCCAAGGTTCCACAATCTGAAGTACAGTTGCTCCACGAATGTAGTTACATCTTTCGGATCACCCTGCAGCCCATGTACCCCCTTGGCTCTATGTCCAATACCATTATACTCTGAGACCTTGGTTGAAGTGAGAAGTAGGTAGAAATTGAGGGAGGATCCCAGATAAAGGAATTTACACCATCAGGGAACTTGTCCTTCTATATAGTTTCTAGTCTTTTTCTCAACAAATCCTTGACCCACACCATACTTACATCACTTCCAAGACACTATCTCTGCCCTTCTTCATTGATACCTTGAAGAGATGTCAACAGCTTACTTCTGCCAGGATGCCTAGTTGACATTGCATTTTTTCCCTTGAAAGATGGAACAAAATACACAGTCATTTACATTGTTCTTGAAAGATAATGCCTCTAATCACTGGATTCTTTGAAACTTTAGTAAAGTTTAAGAAGAAGCCACAGGGGTAGTGGTCAAGGGGACTCAGGTACATTGGTGGTATTAAGGACTGATAGAGCTAAATATCCAAATCACAGTCAACAACACTGCAGGACCCATTTTGTAATAACCAACGTTAATAGGTGCCTGGTTAGTGCTTGGGCAAGATGGGATTTGGGGCGAGGTGGGCGAAAGGGTAGAAGAGGGAATCTGGAAACACTGGTGGAAGGAAGTGGGATTGGTGATGAAATGTTGTACATCAACAACCCAGCTATGAATAGCTTTGCTATTCACGGTGCTTTAATAAAATAAAATTTTGAAAAATAAACAGAAACACAGAGGGAAAGGAACAGACTCAGAATGATTTCTGTCATATGTGGGATATAGACAAAACTGGTAGGGGCCAGGGTATCAAATGCCTAATGTCCAGGGTATCAAATGCCCAATGTCATTAGAAATGAAGAGCAGGATAATTGGTCTTCAGTAGGCACTGGGGTTGGGGTTAGGGAAAGAAACACTAGGATAATGTGGGAGCAATAAAGTGCCTGCCACAGAGGCAGGCTAGGGGTAGGGGAGGAATTGGGCACATTGGTGGAGGGTACTAGGCACTGGTTAAGGGATTGGTGTTAGAACAACATATGCCTACAATTCAATCATAAATATCTTTGCAAGTTTGTAATTTATGGTGATTCAATAAAAAAGAAAAAATTTGAAAAACAAAGATTTGCAAGTTTTGAATTATAGAAATCTGAATAAGCCTAGGCAATCTTGCTCATCCTTCTGATCAGCAAAGTGTTATCAATGGAATGAATTAATGTAACGTTCTATGAGTAT